AGCCGCTCCTCTCTCCAGCCTTCATCTGAGACACAAGCTCTTTCCAAATAGTCTGCATTCTTTTCCTTATAAGGAATATCTCCCCTGGATCTATATGCGGTTCCTTTGAACAAGTCAAATAAACGCGCCCGGCTGGAATGCTGACGCGCATCTACAGAGCGCCACATAGGGAGGAAACACATCTGAACCAGATTAGAGGAAGGCTTTTTCTCTCCGGCGGAGAATCATGCTGTGGTTCTAGAGGCTGAAATTAAGTCAAACAGATTCCTTTCTAAGCAGGACGCAGGAATTTCCCTCTCTCTCTCCTCCGAAACGTAGCCAAGGAACAAAACCAGTCCTTGGGACAAAGTTATCATCCACCGAACCAGGGACCCTCCTTGTTGACATCCTGCTTAATTTCCAACTCCCCGCAACACTGCGCCTGCTTCTGCCTTTCCCTTCTTAAAACAGCTCACTAAACTTTACATATTAATGTTCCTGGGGAGTTTTTCATTTTTTGTGTGTGTCCAAAGGATGCAGCAGGAGCGAAATCAGCTGCTTGGGGGGGGGTGGGCATCTCTCTCCCTCCCTCTAATCTTAGGAGGAGGAACCCTTTACTTGGAAAGAACACAAGGGAGAGGGTGCGCGCTGGATGTTTGAGGGCTGCCTGCATAGAACTATTTCGTGCTTCTCAGGGCGAGACAGGTGGGTGGGCTGGGAACGCAGGGAGGGTGCCGTTCTTCCACTCTACCATATAAAGTGCTGAACTATATATAACTCCCCCAGCTCCCCAGCTCTGGATCGCTGGCCTGCAGACTGTCAAGCTAGCAAGTATCATCTTCCCAGTTAGGTTTTCTCAGGCAAGGTTGCTGTTTTGTCTTGATTGATCGGAGGAGGAGGGGGGAGTAGCCATGGGCCAGTCAAAGCCCCACTGGCTTCCCTTCACCCCTTCTAAGGCTTGAGCCCCGAAACCTCCAGCGATCCTGCCCCATAGGTGTACATGTGTGGAAACTAGAAAACTATAAATCGTCATTTCCGGCTCTGTGGAGCAAAAGGGTCTCTAATCTTTGGTTGCATCAGAGGCTCTGCTTTACACACGCGTCACTATAGCTCCCAATGTTTGCAAGGATCTTGCAATAATGGCCCCTTTTAATCACTCGCCAGGACCTCCCCCTCCTTATGTCCAAAGGATGCTCCATGAAAGTGGAGGCACTCAATGGATGACCCTCCTATTTTGTGTGCGATGGCCAGGACTTCTCATGTAGGGAACGGAGGGCAACTGCCCCCCCATGCCTGTTCAGAGTCACCGTGACCCCCCCTCCTGGTGTTGGGGTCAAGAGGCCAGAGATGGCGGGCAGGGGCCAGAAAGACATGGTGGCCGGGGCGAGTGTGTGTGTGTGACGGTGGAGAGGACAAGCATACTCACGTCTGCCGCCTTCTTCTCTGCCAGCTCCAGTTTCTCTTGGGCATCTTTCAAGGATTCTGAATATTTATCAAGCTCATCTTCTGTGCCCTTCAGCTTCTTCTGCAGAGACACTAACTCATCCTCCAGCTGGCCGAGAGCGTTGGGGGGAAAAAACAGCCCAACGGGACGGGGCGGACGACGGTGTGGGAAGAAGGGGGTGCGGCAGGCAAGGTGATCGCGCAGAGCAGGAGGTGGAGGTGCAGAAGGACAGCAAGAGGCCGACAGAAAAGAAAGAAAAGGGGGAGAGAACGTAGGGGAGAAAAAAGTTAGCATCCTCTCGGCACACTACCTTGGCCGCTTTCTCGTCCGCAGAGAGCAGGCTTTCCTCGGCTTTGTGCAGCTCTTCCAGAACCCGGTCCCTCTCATCCTCCGAGACTCGGAGTTGCTTTTCTATCTGCACTATGTCTTCCTCTAACTAGCCGCGCCGGTCAGAGGCAAAGAGAGGAGGAAAGGCATGTTCATCCCCGTTTTGTGGTCCACCACATCCTACTACACCCCATCCCTCCTCCTATTTCAAAGAGCTCCCTCATGGGGGGGGGGAGGACAGGGGGGAGGCACAAGAGATAGGGAGCACAGTCAATTTTTAAAGCAGAGATTGGGAGAGGGGGGTTTGGGGTTTCTGGACGGCCAGTCCCATAATATCTCGGCCATCAGAAGTCGCAGTTTTGCCAGCTGGGCTCCAAAACCAAAGTTGTTTTTGTTTTTTGTTTTAAATCCCATTTCTGGACTTTAGCCACAACCGGTAGCTGAACCCCAAGCCGTTCCACTTCCTGTTTTAACTCAGGGGCCCTGAAGCTGGCTACGTCTACGCCTGGCCTCAGTCCTGCCAAAATCAGCAAAACGCATAACTGGTAGCTAACTTTAGTCGCCTCTCCTCCCCGCCCCTCCCTGGGCGGCTGGATGGAGTCATTACCATAACTGGATCGGGACCAGTTATGTTTGGTGCGACATGGCCCTGAAACCATCCAGGTTTGCTCACAAGGAGGCAAGCGCTTCTGGGACCCCAGAATCAAGGAGGATTAGCAGTTTGGCCATCCAGATCCCCGCTCTCCCAGGGGTAGGTCCCATTCAGCTGGACTTACTCAGGAGTAAATATGCTGAGGGCATGCTGCCTGGGCTCTCAGTCCCCTTAATGGGCAGCTTAAGGGTGGGGGGAGGAGGAGAATACCTCTTGCTTGCTCCAGTGAGGAGCAGGAGGCACCCCCCTCCCCATATCTATGTTCCTGACTAAGCTGCCTCCCCCCCCCCTCCTTCAGAAGCCCAGCCCCGGAGTAGCACAAGGCATCTCCCTCTCTCTCTAAGGCGTGTCAACCCTCTCGCGTTACACGGAGGAAAGAAAGGCTCCCTCACCCCGTCTCCCGTCCTCCGGCTTCCTCAAGGGCAAGGGAGGGGGCAGAGGACCCCCCACTCCCACCCCCGCCGCCCGGCAGCCCCGCTTTTCAGCCGCGCCTGGAGGGCGCTCGTCTCTTAAGGCTCCGCCGCGATCCGGGAGGCGACTCGGGCGGCGCTCGACGGCAGAAGCCGCGGGAGCGTCGCTCGGGATCGGACGCTGGATTTTGGGGGAGGGGGGAGGCGGCAGGGAAGGGGGGCCAGGAGCCTCTTGGGCACTCGAAGGGGCTCCCTTCCCAGCGCGCCCCTCTGGGACTTGGGGAGGGGGGGCTGAAAAAAGGCCCTTTCCCAGAGTTCTGGAGAGGCTCGGATGACACCCGAGGAGGCGCCCCCCCTGCCCCGGGGCTGGCCGGCTTCCTTGGGGGGACGCAGCCCGTGGGGTGGGGTGGGGGATCGTGGGAAGGGGCCAGAGGCGTCCCAGGGGAGGAAAGCGACCGAGGGGCGCCCGGCAGCGGTGCGCGGGGGGGGGAGTACATACACACCACCCTTCTCCCCTCTGGCGCGCACGGGGTGGGGTGGTTTGGGGGTCCCTTCTCGCCTGCCCGCCTGCCTGCCCGGGGCGCCCACCTGCTTGCTGCGGTCCTCGGCGGCCTTCTTGTCGGCCTCGGCCTGCTCCGCTCGGTCCAAGGCGTTCTCCTTGTCCAGCTTGAGCATCTGCATCTTCTTCTTGATGGCGTCCATGGCGGCGGCGGCGGTGGTGGGTCAGGGCGCGGGAGCCGGGCTGACCGTCGAGGGTTAGCGGCGGGGGCGCCGACGAGGAGGA